GGACCTTCGGCGGGGCTCCTATGGGGCCACGAAACGTGTGAGGGGTGTGCCGAAATGAATGGCGGGGACGCATGCGAACTGTCCCACTGGGACCTTCGGCTGAGCTCCTATGGGGCCACGAAGCGTGTGAGGGGTGTGCCGAAATGAATGGCGGGGACGCATGCGATCTGTGCCACCGCGACCTTCGGCGGAGCTCCGATGGGGCCACGTAGCGCGTGAGAGGTGTGCCGACATGAATGGCGGGGGCGCACGCGAACTGTACCACTGGGACCTTCGACGGGGCTCCTATGGGGCCACGAACCGTGTGAGGGGTGTGCCGACATGAATGGCGGGGGCGCATGCGAACTGTGCCACTGGGACATTCGGCGGAGCTCCTATGGGGCCACGAAACGTGTGAGGGGTGTGCCGAAATGAATGGCGGGGGCGTGTGCGAACTGTTCCACTGGGACCTTCGGCGGGGCTCCTATGGGGCCACGAAACGTGTGAGGGGTGTGCCGAAATGAACGGCGGGGACGCATGCGGACTGTGCCACCTGGGACCTTCGGCGGGGCTCCTGTGGTGTAGGGCCACGAGCCGTGCGAGGGGTGTGCCAACATGAATGGCGGGGGCGCGCGCGAACTGTGCCACTGAGACCTTCGGCGGGACTCTTGGGGCCACGAACGCGTGAGGGGCGCGCTGGAATGAATGGCGGGGGCGCATGCGAACTGTGCCACTGGGACCTTCGGCGGGGCTCCTTTGGGGCCGCGGGCCGTGTGAGGGGTGTGCCAAAATCAATGGCGGGGGCGCGCGCGAACTCTGCCACTGGGACCTTCGGCGGAGCTCCTATGGGGCCACGAAGCGTGTGAAGGGGTGTGCCGAAATGAATGGCGGGGGCGCATGCGAACTGTGCCACTGGGACATTCGGCGGGGCTCCTATGGGGCCACGAAACGTGTGAGGGGTGTGCCGGAATGAATGGCGGGGACGCATGCGAGCTGTGCCATTGGGACCTTCGGCTGAGCCCCTATGGGGCCACGAAGCGTGTGAGGGGTGTACCGAAATGAATGGCGGGGACATATGCGGAGCGCGCCGCTGGGACCTTCGGCGGAACTCATTTGGGGCCACGAAACGTGTGAGAGGTGTGCCGACATGAATGGCGGGGGCGCATGCGAACTGTGCCACTGAGACCTTCGGCGGGGCTCCTATGGGGCCGCGGACCGTGTGAGGGGTGTGCCAAAATCAATGGCGGGGGCGCATGCGAACTGCGCAACTGGGGCCTTCGGTGGAACTCCTATGGGGCCACGAGCCGTGTGAGGGGTGTGCCGACATTAATGGCGGGGGCGCATGCGAACTGTGCCACTGGGGCCTTCGGCGGAGCCCCATATGGGGCCACGAACCGTGTGAGGGGTGTGCCGACATGAATGGCGGGGGCGCGCGCGAACTGTGCCACTGGGGCCTTCGGCGGAGCTCCTATGGGGCCGGGAACCGTGTGAGGGGCGTGCCGAGATGAATAGCGGGGACGCGTGCAAACTATGACACTGGGACCTTCGGCGGGACTCCTATGGGGCCACGAAGCGTGTGAGGGTGTGCCGAAATGAATGGCTGGGATGCATGCGAACCGTGCAACTGGGACCTTCGGCGGAGCTCCGATGAGGCCGCGAACCGTGTGAGGGGTGTGCCGAAATCAATGGCGGGGGCGCGTGCGAACTGTGCCACTGGGACCTTCGGCTGAGCTCCGTTGGGGCCACGAACCGTGTGAGGGGTGTGCCAGAATTGGCACGCGGCGGGCGGGGAGGACGCATGTGAATTGTGCCACTGGGACCTTCGGCGGAGCTCGTATGGGGCCACGAACCGTGTGAGGGGTGTGCCACAATGGGCACGCGGTGGGCGGGGTGGACGCATGCGAACTGCGCCACCGCGACCTTCGGCGGAGCTCCTATGGGGCCACGAAAAAGCGTCAGGTATGTGCCAAAATGGGCCTGCGGTGGGCGGGGAGGACGCATGCGGACTGTGCCACTGGGACCTCCGGCGGGGCTCCGATGGGGCCACGAGCCGTGTGAAGGCTGTGCCAAAAGGGCCTGCGGGCGGGAAGGACGCATGCGAACTGTGCCACTGGGGCCGTCGGCGAAACTCCTATGGGGCCACGAACCGCGTGGAGGGGTGTGCCAACATGGGCCTGCGATGAGCGGGGAGGACGCGCGCGAATTGTGCCACTGGGACTTTCGGCGGGGCTCCTATGGGGCCACGAACCGTGTGAGGGGCGTCCCAAAATGGGCCTGCGGTGGGCGGGAAGGACTCATGCGAACTGTGCCACTGCGACCTTCGGCGGAGCTCCTATGGGGCCACGAACCGTTTGAGGGGTGTGCCAAACTGGGCCTGCGGTGGGCGGGGAGGGCGCATGCGAACTGTGCCGCTGGGACCTTCGGCGGAGGTTCTATGAGGCCACGAGCCGCGTGAGGAGTGTGCTAAAATGGGCCTGCGGTGAGCGGGGGGGGCGCATGCGAACTGTGCCACTGGGACCTTCGGCTGAGCTCCTATGGGGCCACGGGCCGTGTGAGGGATGCGCCAACATGGGCCTGCGGTGGGCGGGGAGAACGCGTACGAACTGTGCCACTGGGACC